TGCCGAGCAAATTGCCAACATTGAAAAACGAACCCCCCCCAATAGAAAGCTGGCTACGGGCCTGATGTGTATACTATCTGAGTTACGTATACGAAATATTGGCGTAGACGAGGGTATTCCTTGTGAAAATTAGTAAATGATTATTCATTTGTCTAGGGTTATATGTCGCATTGTCATTTAGGAACACTTTGTGCCAGCGTCTATATAGGTGATCGAGCCTGTTATTACTATTAAATTTCAATTGAGAATTAACTTACGATACCTTATCAAATCTATCTAACAAAGGAATTTTTCGCTGTTAGGAAGTTTTTCATCACTCTTCTGTCTACCACGAACAGAAAAAAAGGAATTAAGGATAAAGCCACTGTACAGCTGAATATGATTAAGAGTTTTCAATTATCTGTGTAATTTTAAACGGCTCAGTTAATTACACAGGAGACCGAAAATACGGCCAAAGCTATAGACCAAGGGTTCACCGCATTTAACCTATTTTTAAGTGGCGTATTATTTTAGTTGAACGTACTCCCGAAATAGATTTTGGGAAGGAATCTTTTTTTGTTCTTGGCAGACAGCAGGCCCGTAGCCAGCTTTATATTGGGGGGGGGGGGTTAAATGTTGGCAATTTGCTCGGCAGGGGCGTGTACAGGATTTGTACCATTGTCTAATCGTAACCCAAACTTGCGAGCACGCGAAAAGGGGGTCTGGGTCTGGTCAACATTTTCGAAATTAGACCCCCTCAGATGCGTTTTCTGCGCGAGCAAGGGGGGGTCCGGACTCCTTGAACCCCCCCCTCCTGTACACGCCCCTGCTCGGGCGCGAAGCGACCGAGCGAGGGAGCCAAGCGAACGAGCGGGGGGAGGGTGTGGGAGGGGGTGCTCACCCTCCCGCACGATGGAAATTTTGCAATTATTACACTAAAATGAAGCGACCTGAAGTGAAATTCTTGAAAAAATTTCGTGCGAACCCCCCCGAACACCCCCTCCCCCTTGGCTACGGGCCTGGCCAGTATACTAATGTATTTAGGAGGAAGGCTTAGCTGTGAGATTACGGCTGTGAGATTGCCTATTAGGCAGGACTGTAAAGAACATAGCATGTCAAATAATGCCCATTGCGAATAATTGAAGAATAAACTGCATATAAGCATGGTAGATTATGCTTTCGTTATTGACATATAATATACGCACAATCTTTGTTCAACTTCGCATTG